ATTGTGTTATGTATAAATAGTGCAGCCGGGAAAACCGCGCCAGACCGCCCCTCCGCACGTGTGCCTGAGATCTGAGTTCCGCACAATTGTCTTGAATGGATTGGCGTCACTGTTTTTTTAAATTCATATTCTTCAACAAATCGACGGTATACTTACGAAAGACTCCTCTCTATGCTTTTGATTTATCGTCATTCCGTTGTCACTTGTTCATCTACCTACAGTTGATTGCCCGCCTGCAGTTTTGCTTTTACCAGTTTTTGTAACATATAACTTATGCCTGGATCGGCAGTTACTTAAAGGTGATATGATGGTCAATTATATTCTATCATGGAAGTTTCCTTTTTAACTCTTCATATCTAGGGTTTTCTGTGCATAATTGAATTGCATGTAGACTAGCGTTCCCGTTGTAAGATGTAGGCTAGTATTGCTGTTTGACAATTGTACCTAATAATTACGAGTGATATAATTTACATACTAATTTCCATCTACAACCAGTCTTACGTGAGAAACCTTACTATCTTCTTTAGAGTGCGTCAATTTAGGGATGGCGACATCCCTGTCGAGCCAGCTGCAGTCACTTAGAACAGCAACTGCGAAGCACCAAACCGTTGAGCGACAACATGTGTCTCTTCTCTTTGAGAAAGCAGAAGCAAAAGCACTCGACAGAGAATCCGCCTTTCAAATAGGTAAGCATGCAACTTTCATGTATTTTTCCTTTCTAACTTCGATAGAGTACCTGTGATCTGAGTTATAAGTGAAATCACTTCAGGATCCGCTGGTCTAGAGAAACTTAAAGCGTTAGATGATGTGTTTCAAGAACCCAACGGTCTTTTTGATGAATCTCGCTTGCATTTCCAACGTTCAATGATCACGAAGGAAGAAAATGCTATTCTTAACGAAAAAATTGAGAAGTTATTGTTTCATTTGTCACCATATCTGCAACATTTTGCCTGTCAACAGGTATTGGAATGGCTTGTATACAAATATCAGGTAAATCAAATGTGCAGTAGGTTTTTGAGCTCTCTTTGATCACTTTTTCAAGATCTATGCCTATAATGCCGAAGCGATGATTTTGACATTTTTGCCATTTCACGAAACGAATCTGTTTGGTCGAATGCTTTCGATTATTGAATACAACTTCAACACATCGAAAGACTGGGGCTTCTTAGAAGAATTTTGCAGAAAGAGTTATCCAGTCCCATTTAGTGCTGTACGTGTTCTTCTCAATCTCTCTCTCTCCTCTGTCGAGTACTTACGATCTCTTTTAGATTCTTAGAAGTACTATGTCTAGTACCCACTCCTTGATAACGAAAATCACCAACCATATCAATCGAGGAATCCAAGTACGTTATCCGCTAATTTTATGTTTTATTTTCTTCTTACTACTCATTTTCACAGTTGGTTGGAGAAGAGTTTTTGGAGAACAAATGTCCTATGCTATTCACGTTTTATGCCAAATTACTTATCGGTGTACTAGAAGATTCTATGAAGATTGATGATGTACTACTATCCAAAATCATTCCTTTCGTAGCAGTTGGTATGAAGTAAGTGCCTTGCTTATATTTTTTCAAATCAATTCTGACACATTTGCAGGAGTACGCTTCCTTCATTTCGACAAGCTTCTCTAATAGTTATCTGTCAATTGGTTACCTCGGTAAAGCTTACGCCTAATATTGTTAAGGCGCTCGTGAAGATCATTATTATGGTCAGTTCTGTATTCTCTATTAACTCAAGAGTAAATGTTTAGTCAAACGAGGCATACATCCTAAAAGCCTTTTTTCCCTCTACGAAATTTTATTCAGCGTTTTACCAGTCTTTTGATTTTGTTTAGATTTTTGGGTGAGGATGGATTGGCAGGTTGACAAAAAAAAACATGTTAGGTAAGCCATCATTGCTTTTAATCTAGTCCAAAAATTAGCAATCATGTCATGTCGTTCCACTTATAAGAAAGTCTTCCTAAAGTTCTTTTGAAGATTTGCGCTGAATACAGTATTCGTCTAACATACTCTGCACATCTGTAGCATGGACGATTGAAGGGCTTCAGTTTTCACTGTATTCCTCAGACCTTGCTCTGTGCCGTTTTTCTTTTTTTGAGCGCTCTTCGTCCGTGGAAGGCGTAGCCTTCGGTGACAAAGTGTTTCTCATTAGCGGCTCAACGACTCCTTGTGAAGAGTCATGTTGGATAGTGGCACCATGACATCGACAAATTTTGGGAAGATGACAAATCCTAAGCAATGGCGGATACTGTATTTTGACTTTTTGTGAGCATTCCAAACATACTGGTCACGTGAATAACTTCCGAAATATCGTCTTAAATTAAGAAGAAAGTCAGGTGTCGAAGTTGCTGTTTTCCGTCGACTTGATATTCCATTTCTCAGCTCAAAAATCCGACCAATAAAAGCGTTTGGGGAAATGATAGGTGAAAATGGCTTTCAAAAGATATACATCGCTTAACCAAAAATATGAATGAGAAAAAAATAGTATGCA